GCTGCTGACGGCGCTGATCCGCGGGGCGCGTGCAAGGCAGGGGCGGGGCCTCTGCACCCGGGCCGCCTCCTCTGGGTATAATCAGAACACTCTGGCTCATGGGCTCCAACACGCCTCCCAACAGACAAGTGCCTCTGCATCGCCCGTTCCTTTGGACCTCCAGTCTCCCCTCCTCTCCAAATGGACCCCAACTGCTCCTGCTCCACTGGTAAGGGACTCCTCTGAGTCTTGGATGCCCCCTTCCCCTTGGATGACACAGGACAGAGTGTCGCTGGGATTAGAGAAGTGAGGATTTGGAGTGTGAGCTTAGGTAGACTTCTGTCGTTGGTTCAGTGCCTTCTTCCTAGCCAGGCTACCGAGAGCATTTCTAGTCTCCCTTTGCTTCTATTTTTGAATTGCGGTTACTGAGGATCGAGGCTGTCCTTTTCCAATTCGCCCAGCTGGTCAGGGGACTGTCTAGGTCTTGGAGCTGTAGGACTTGATGGGAGGAGGGGACATTGCTCCTTCTGAGTTCAGGTCATAAGGCCCTGGCCCCAGCCCCAATCAGCCTAGGCGGGATCTGAAGACTGGGACCTTCCCTGTGGAGTAAATCAGGAGGCGACCTATATTTCCTGGCACCAGAAGAGTGAATGTGGGGCTTCTCTATCTACCTAATGGGACAGGAGCTCCCAGCACTGGGCCCTGACAGAGGAGGGTTTAGGGCGGACTTGTTGACTCTGCTGGAGCTCCTGCATCCCACGTCCTGCTCACTGCTGGTCTTTCCCTTCCTGACAGGCAGCTCCTGCACCTGCGCTGGCTCCTGCACATGCAAAGACTGCAGATGCACCTCCTGCAAGAAGAGTGAGTGTGGGGCCTTCTCTGGGAATCTGGGGTGTGGGCTGAGTCAGAGGAGGGAGCTCAGAGCTCAGCAGGTAGTAACAGGGCAGGGAACCATCTTCCCTACATCCCCTTCACCAGGATCTGATTCAGAATCACCTTAGAGATGATTGAGACCCAACCTCTCATCCTAGAACAGGGAGATTGAGGCCCAAACGGGTTACCACCAAACATTCTCAGACCTGACACAAGAGCTAGTTCCCCTATCTTCTGATTAACTTTTCTTAATCCTCTCAGGGACTGAAGGACTTTGTGGACATGAACTAGTGACCATGTGTGATTTCTCTGACCTACTGCAGCCCTTTCCTGTAGAGGCAGCCCAGAGATTCTCTGGCCCTCTTGGGAGCTGTTCTGTCAGGGGTTTGCCTGGACTCTGATCTCAAAAAGTTTATCACTTCATTTGATGGTTCTGGGGGCTGGCTTTCCTTTGTCCCCAGGGCCATGTCACTGTCTCTGTAAGGCTCTCTGTCTTGTCCTGGGCTCCAGTAGGGCAGGCAGCTTTAACCTAGTGTCTGAGAGTAATTATCTCAGGGCAGAGCTGCCATTGTAAGGTCAGGGTCTTCTGGGTCTGGGCCAGCTTGTGCCTGGCCTGCTGTTGGGAAGGGTGGTTCCCAGTAATGTGTGCTCTGACCCTCACTCTGCCCTTTTTTCCCCCAGGCTGCTGCTCCTGCTGCCCCGCGGGCTGTGCCAAGTGCGCCCAGGGCTGCATCTGCAAAGGGGCGTCTGACAAGTGCAGCTGCTGTGCCTGAAGTCGGGGAGACCCTGCCCCACATGTAGACAGAGCAACATGGACAAGTCTGCATTTATTATTTTTCATACAACCTGACCTAATGCTACATTTCTTTCTCTGTGAAATATGTGAATTATAATAAAAGTTGTGAGCTTTATTCTGGCTTTGTTTTTCTTTATTTTATTTGGAAATAAGAGACTTTATGACTTCATGCCCACCAGGTCTGGGGTGGGAAATTAAGACTACAAGTGCAGAGACCTGGGTTCTGAAGCAAATATTAGCCCCCATACACTGAGTGGGTTAAGTAGGTCAGGTTACCTCTATGAGCTTCAGGTTCTCAGCTCAAAATGAAAGTATTGACCAGAGGACATAGGGCATCGTACATACACAGGTTCCCCTCTCTTCTCATTATGAGTATTGATGTCACAGAAACTTCTCAACTTCTCATTTTCATTCTCTATGGGACCCTGCCATACTCAGTCCACAGTGATATAAGCCTTCAAAAGTACCCAGAGGGGATGGAATCCAACTCCCCACTTGGTTGATTTCTGTACAGAGCTTGCTTCTAAAACATTATAGAGAGTCCTGTTTTTCTTTTCTAGGACAGTTTCAAATTTAGATGAATAAAAAGAATTGCTAAGAAAAAAACTGTTAAAGGACACAATATCTAAAATTCATTTTTCATTTCCAAACACATAATCACATAAATATGGGAACAACAAATTTTTTAAATTAGAGGCTTTTATATGCTGCACATATGTTCGTTGAAGGCATGCAGGAGTCCTGGAAACACCTCACAAATGCCCCACTCTGTGGACCACATACACTCTGTCCCCAGCATCCCCACAGGGAACATCAATCTTGGCTTGCCCAGTCCCACTGACAAAACCGCTACCACCCCTCACAGCTCCCTGTGGTGACTTGGCTCTGAATCTTTGGAAGTTTCTCCCTAGGTTAGGCTGAAATCTGCCCTTCCCTCAAAATCCAGCCCTTGGCTCTTGAAACCAGCCAAGGCATTGGATTTGGAGGGAATTTCCCAGCAAGAGGCAGTATATCTGAGACTTGGTTCAGGATGAAGGACTTCATGTCTTCCTCTGCAGGGGGATGTTACTCTGCAGTTTGCAGGGCGTGGTGGTGTTTATTGGGAAGGAGCGTGTGCTGAGTGAATGATAATATACACAAAGTGTTAGTCCCCTGACTGTGGAGGGAATTGCTATTTGATGCTCAGTCAAAGAGAAAGAGGAGGCCTGTGGCTCAGAAGTCAGGTCCAAGATCGCCCACAGGTGCCCTGTGTGAAGAGGGGCTTTCAGGAGCCAGCTTGCGCTGGGTGCATGGGTTTTGGTGTCAGGCATCCATGTTCACAGCCTCCTTGCCACTTCCTGACCTGGGCAAGTCACTGATAACCTCTGAGTTTCCACTTCCTCATTACTATAAAAGGGATTATATTTCAATGCGGGGATTAAGTGAGATAATGGTCTGGTCCTATCTAGGCTTCCTGAACAGTGGCCATTATGATCACTATATCCACACTAACATTTGTGCACAGAGAAGCCTTTTAGCCCCAAGAAGCTCCTGGAGAAAGGCTCATTGATTTGTAAGCATTACTGAGTGGAAGTTAGAGATGACATTGGAACCTTGCCTGTCTGGTGTCAAGGGAATTGTGGATGACCTGCATAAGCCCTTTGGGACAGATGCTGCCACATCATTTGGACAGACACAGAAGTCTTTCCCCACCTTGGTGTCATTCAATCTGCCAGGAGCCAGTGAGAGAGTGAACATGCAGGGAGTGGAGTGATTGTGCCAATTCCAGAGAGGTTAAGCAACCTGCCCATGGTCACACAGCTCAGAGTCAGAGATCTGAACCTACACCACAGCTGACTCACCTCCTGGCCATAGGATGCTATTATGATGTCACTGAATGCTGAATCCTGCCTCTCCTTATTCAGAGCTGGAAGGGTCCTTTGAGACAGTCCAGTTGTGCTCCTGGCTGGAGAGACGGGAGTCTGAAGCCCAGAGAGGTCGCAGAGCTATGCAGGGGGATCTTACTGCCTGCTCAGTGCTTTTCCATGGTTGCCTCTGCCAGGTGTTGTGTCCTCATCTTTTGTGTGATGTCATGGTGCTGGTGGTGGGTGAGGCCATGAAGCTGAAGTCAGCCTGCATGAGTGCAAGTCCCACCTGTGTCACTTATAGCCAGGTGACATAACCTCTCTATGGCTCAGTCACCTCTGCTGTAAGAGGGCAAAATAACAGTATCCGGCTATTTAAGAATTCAATACATGCAGCAACCTTAGAACAAAGCCTGGCACACGGTGATTAACCTGTAATAGTAGATGTTATTTTATTATTATCTCTCATTTCATAGGAGATATTTTCCTCCTTCCAGACTAATAAGCCAGAACTGGTGTGCATGACTTTGTTTCCAGTGATCCCTGAACAACCATGTGAGCTTGCACTGTTGCCCAGAGTGGGTTATCCTCTTTCCCATAAAAGAGGAATAGGCACTAGGGATATAAAACCAAGGTCAAGACAGTGGATGTCCCTGAAACAGATGCAGGAGGATGCCTGCCACTTCTGCTGTCACTTGCACCAGGATTTTATTTAACATTGTGTATGTGTGTGTAAATTTATTTATATGAAAAGCAAACTCTTTACCACTACTTAATATGAGAATTAGTTTCTAGACATAAACGGTAGCCACAAAAACATATGCTTTCCTTTTCTACCACTTTTGTCACTGCCAGGATTAAGCTAATGCAGTAGAGAGGTGCTGAAGACATGCCTCTGGGCCAAAGGGACACGTTGTCACTGACTCTCTCTTTCCCTTGGGGAAGTGACCAGAATCAGGTCCAGGGCATCACCCCCACCACTGGGACCCTGGGTTAGCAGCTGCCTTCTACTCTAAGTAGCATTGCCTTTTGGAAACGGGCTCCTAAGCAGTATTTCCTTTTAGGGTTGCTGTTATAATTTAAGGAGCAAAAGTGGTTAAGCAAGGCTTAACACAGACTCCATGGTATTTAAGTTGTCAGGAATACAGAAAGGGAAATAACCACCTGTCTTGCTTTGTTGTTTAATGCCAGGGCTGCCTTCCTTCTAAAATGATCCCTTCCCTAGGGGCATTGTATGCTTTGGGAACCTCGGTCCTGGAGTAGGGTGACCAGCTAGGCTGAGGAATATTCTGAAAAGTTCAGACAAAGGAGCACCCAGTCAAAATGTGCCCATCCATCCATTCAGCAGTGGAGAATGGAAGGAAGAGAGGCAGAGGCTGCGTTCGCCGCGTTGCTATTACAGGAGGACCGTTAGAGAAGCGCTGAATAAAGACCATCCTGGGGACTAGGACAGGCATCCTGGGGGAAGAGGGGGCCAAGACTGGGACGTGAGCGCGAGGTTGGGATGAACACGGGCTCCGGGAAAGGGTGAAACTTAGGGCAGAGTTTCAGGGGCCGGGGGTGGGGAAGTCGGTGAGGACACGCTGCTGGTTTCCCGGTGGCTGCGGACGGCGTGGAACACTGGGAAGAGGCGGGCAGGGAGGCCGGGTCGTTGCGTGCCGCCCGGCACAAAGTCCCCCCGCGCTGGAGGGCGCCAAGGGGGAGGCCCCCGCGGTGCGCACGGAGACCAGCCGGGTTCCTGGAATCGTGCTCTCGGCCCGCTTGTTGC